TATATCTAATCCCATTTGCTTTGACTGGAAATTAAATGTAATAAGGGTGTGTGGCATGCGTCCCTTCCTCGGCCCTAATGACGTCCTCCTCCCGCTGTCACTCGCCTCCTCGGCAGTGGTCAGGATTTGCGTGCCGTTCCCCACTCACTCGCGGCTCTCTCCCCACTGTCCTCGCTGGGGAGAGCTCTGATAGGCTACTTCTGATATGAAAACCATGGTCTAATGTTGAGTTCCCTCATTTGGTGCAGACCATCATGAAAGTGTGTTTCAGGAAACTGAACCAGTGTTCGCTTGGAAGTGGATTCAGTGGGGTTCATTTGTTCATTGCATGCCCAAGTATAAGTGGAGCATTCACACCTGTCAAAATAAACCAAACTAAAGAAAACTTTTGACTGGTCCCCAACAAAAAGTCTAAGTGTGAAAGCTCCCCTCATTGTAGCCTCGGGACCAAAATACATACAGTGCATTTCAATCACATCATATTCAGTAGCAAAAAAAAAAAAACAAAACAAACAAGAAATATAATGACTAAAATTCAGTTCATTTTAGTTCTCTGGGAGGGGATCAGAGAAAGAGAGAATGTAAAAGAGTGAAAAAGACTGAAGATGAGAGAGCAGAAGAGAGAGAGAGACAGTGAGAGAGAGAGAGAATTCTTGTCTTGCTGCTGAAGTTTTCTCAGGAGCTCTTCTGCTTCTTTTTACCGCCTCTGTCTGCCGTAAATCTGCTTGCGTGTCTTTCTTTCTCTTTGCCAACAGAGCTGAGACACCCGTCACTGTTGTGGGAGCCTTTCTGTTTCTCACCGTCCTCTATACTTCCTTACTCACTCGTTCTGTCTTTTTCTGTGTGTCTCACTTTCTCTTTCATTCTCTGTCTCTCATTCCTCTGCGCTGTCACTGTCTTCTATTCTTCTGCATTCTCTCTTTCTCTGACTCTTTTCCCAGTTGACTGTAATTCTCTGACATTTAGTCATTGTAGTTTCTGTTTCTTATATCTTGTGACTAAAATTGAACTAAAAGTAAGTGCAGTGGCATTCATAGGTTCTTCTCAGCCGCAGGGCTAAAAGAAATGAATGCCTGGAATATTACCATTATGTAACTTGCTTGTTTACTCGCCATTGCAGTGTCTCAGACAAGTTGATGCTGTAATGTAGACTAATGGTTGAAGTACATTATTAAGTTACTCTTGAGCTGTGTAAAATGACCTAAGTAGTGATGTAAAGATGTTAGGGGGCCCAGTAGTCACACTAGTGTAGTTGCACAACTGACTAAATGTATTTTAGGCTCAAGACTATGACTAAGGCTGGCTTTATAAGGTGAAACTTTCAAACAACTAGTTCAGTGGTCAGCAACCCAAATGTTAAGAGGAGCCATTTTGTCCTTTCAACAAAAACCAAACCACCTTGGGAGCCACAAGTCTCAGTACGTGCTAATATAATAGTATCGGATGAAAAATATAAACAAAATCACAGGCTTACTTTGCTTTGCTTTAAGCTTTAGGTCAGCTGTAGCTGCTTTTCTCGCATCTCCGTCAGGAAACTTTTCCGCGAAGTAGAATAGTTTTTGTAAAATGTCTCTCAATGTTTGACTTTTTGCACAGATGAAGTCAGTTTCTCGTTCTAATTTTCCCGTTCCACCTTAAAGACTTCATCTTTGCGACTTTTTAGTGTTTGACAGTTATCGGTTCAATGCAGATTAAATGTATCAGGAAACCAGCTGGAGTGATTATAAATGCAAATAAGTCCATTCGTCTCTGAAGTATCAATGTTCATCTTAAATCTTTCTCTTTGCCATTTTGTTAGTGACTAGCTAAGCGAGACTGTTGTCTGCGTTGCTGTGTGACCAGCAGTCTGCACGCCAATCTTCAGGGTTAAGGGGTGAATTAGCAGATATAGGCTACATTAACTCCAGCGTTTAAGACAGTTTATTGTTAAAACTGTTAGAACAGTCAGCAGAGCTTTATTTTACTGCAAAGGAGGATAATTTTATATTTACCTAAAAGTCTAATTCTGCTGCGGAGCTGCAACAGGACAGTAAAAGAGCTGCATGTTGCCAACCCCTGAACTAGATGCATGTTATGAGTTTCCTGCAACATTTCTGTGCAACTTGAAAGCTGTGTGAAGCAGTTCAAAAGTTGCATGCAACATAGTTACACACTAGTTAGCCAAATTAGGAGCTCCACTCTTTGTTCTCACTATAAAGTGAGCTTTGTACTTTTCATATTTGCAGCTTTTTGATCATCTTCGGATACTTTTCTGTCCATTTGGGGCTGTTTACCATATATTTGTGCGCATGTTTATTGATGACCTCACCTTGGTCTTCTATTCTGTAAGAATTTTCCTTTGGATACCAAAGAAATCTTGTGTAAGATTGTGTAACATCACTGTGTAAGATTAGGAGGCATCAAGAGAGGAGAGAATAAATATTCTAGCTTGCAGCTGTTGCAGCTGAGTTTCAAATGAGTTGCAGGACAATTTACATTATGCAACTCAATTGCAATTTAGTTTCATATATCTTTCAAGCAACGAAGTTTCACTGTGTAAAACCAGCCTGAGATTAAATAAAAAGAGCAAGCAAAATGAACACACATGACCTGCCTGACCCACTCTTTCTGTCTTTCTCTCGCTTTCACTCTGTCATTGATTACTTCATGCTGTCTTCATCTAGCTGCAGTCCATAAGCAGAGAGCTGTTATTCAAAATATGTAATTTAAAGGTCACACCTTGGCCTTTTGTAAGCTAGCCGAGCCTTGCGGTTTTCATCCGATTCATTCAGGCCTTTCCAGCTGTTCTCTGAAGGCCATCACCTCTTTATTAGCTGCAAACACACAAACACACACGCACACACATACATGATAATTCATTCAATATCTCCCAGAACAGGAAGCTCTCAAGGAGACTGTAGCTCCAGGCAGTTTCATCTGGATAGTGTCTTGGTATTCCATAAAGAGCAGAAGGTCTACCTACGCAGCAGTTCATCGTTTGTTACATGATGCAATGACGCAAACTAGTGTTAAATGCAAGTATTTGAGTTTTATTTCTTGAAGACTTGAGTGCAAATCAAGGCTGAACTTCAAACTAGAGCTATGATGTGGACTCTGAGCATTTTGAGAATGGTGCTATATGACTTGAAAGAAAAAACACAGAGAAAATAATTCTTAGTTAAATAATTTCATAGAAGCTCTTTCTACTTTCTGCATGGTCAAACTGAAGTTAATGTTATGTATTATTGTGTGTGCTGTAAATGCAGTTAAACTTGTAGTACTTCTTCACAAGCCTTCAGCACAAGGTAGTCGTAAAGAAATAGTTTAATCAAAAATATCAGTTGGAAAGCACAAATAGCCCCCAGTTAGCTTTTGCAAATCACTGTTGGGCAGTCTTTAACCCTAAGAATAGGTCACACAAAAAGGTAAAGAACCTGTTTTAGATGTATCTTTTTGTTCAAAAGTTTGTAGACGCCCCTTCTAATGACGGATTTCAACTGCTTTAAAGTGCACTCAGGCATTCACAGCTTCTGTAAACTCCATAGAGAAGCACTGCTTTTTGTAGCACTGGCTGAATAGAATTGGACACTCTGGAGCAACTGCACAAGAGCCTAAGGTCACCATGACCATTGCCCAGCATTGGCTAGAGGGCTGTGGAGCAGTGGAACTACGTTCTCTGGAGTGATGGAGCTCTATCTACTACCTTTGGGTTGAGTTGGAGTGGTGTTTGTGATCCTGAACTAATCATTCAGCATCAGTACCTGCAAGCACACGCACACATAGTCCCCAGGGGGGCTTGAGCACCTGCCCTTTTGCCCTCAGACTGTCCTTTTGGTAGGTGTGTATGATAACTGTATTGCCTCCACCATTCCTCAAGCTATGTTTCAGCGGGATGAGGCTCTGTGTTGCCCTAGGAATAGAGCTAGTGGGTCAGCTTGGGTTCAACGAGATTTATCTCTCTTGGGCGCTCCCTCTGGTGCAGTACTGACCATCTGTGGTTCTCCTCAGAAACTCCCGCCTGTCACTGATCACCACAGCGCTGGAAGTACCAGCAAAAAAGACATTTTGGACAACAATCAAATGTAACATGAACAAGGGGTGTTAGTAACTTGCTACACCACATTTTCATTATGGAAAAAGCATGGAATTATATAAAACTCTGTGGAACTCTTAAATAGGTTTGTAACTAAGTAATAGACAGAGATTACGCAGTGTAGTGAATTATGCCATGGCTTTACATGCTGGTGACTAGGCTTAATGCTGCATTTGGTTTTGCCTTAAGCATGATTACACTGTCTCTCTTGATAAGAGTGATTGCAAGAGTATTTGAGTACCTGACCACACTAATGCTGTTGTGGCTGAATGCAATCAAATTCTCACAGCAATGTTCCAATGTCTACTGTATAGCCTGCTCAGAAGACTAGAGGCTGTTACTGCAGCATACAGGGAACACATTCATTATTGGCACCCTTGGTTTCAGAAGAAATGCTGGATGAGCAGGTGTCTACAGACATTTGGACATATACATACAGCGGGAGTGCTGGAGCATATCCCAGCGGTCATTGGGCAGAAGGCAGGAAACACCCTGGACAGGTCGCCAGTCCATCGCAGACGCATAGACATACACAATCACACAGACAGGGGCAGTTTAGTGTGTCCAGTTGACCAGACTGCATGTCTTTGGACTGTGGGAGGAAACCAACACAGACACAGGGAGAACATGCAAACTCCACACAGACAGGACCCGGGGAATTGAACCCAGGACCTTTTTGCTGTGAAGCAACAGCGCTACCCACTGTGCCAACCCATTTATTTACATAGTGTATGTGACAGCTGTTATTTGGCTAGAGCTGCAGTGTTCTTTGAAATTTGAGGGGTTCTCAATAGAGAATTATTGCTGTATGTGATTTAGATGCTAAGCTTTTTTTGAGTTTGCTGTGTAATAAGCATTGATTTGTGTGCTGTGAGGTGGAAAAAAGAATTCCCAGTCATTCACAAATAGCATTTTTTGTGTTTTTCAGGTGTAACATCAGGAGCTGAACTGTCATTCACGTTGGAGCCCAGTGACATCATTGCGGTCCAGCAGCAGCCATTGATGCTGCACTGTCAGGTGGAGGGAATCCCCCCCATCACCACGCAGTGGAGACGCAACGGGGTGCTTCTGCAGGAGGACCAAAACCACGCCATGTTCATCAATGGCTCGCTGCTGATAGGCCGCTTCCAGAGGAGCAGGTCCGACGGCTCATCTGATGAGGGAGACTACGAGTGCGTGGCTCAGAATTCCTTTGGGCTGGTTGTGAGCCGCAAGGCGAAAGTACAGGCTGCCAGTAAGTAGCGTGCACCCGATTACAATCTGAGTGTTGCTGTGGGGAAGATGTGCCTATGTGAGAATGCAAAATGTGGTTCCATGTGGAAGCAAACTGTGCATTCAGTGGTTACGTTTACACACAAAGATTTTCACCAATCCAACTGAATGTATTCCGCTTTGAAATTTAGTCTGAGGTGTTTATATGCACACTCTGCTCAACCTACTGATTACATGTACATTATGTGTAATCAGATCTAAATTTACACACATGCAGGAAATACCCCTTAGTGTAGATGTTACTATGACAACAAGGATCACGTGAGTCCAGTCAGAGTGAGACGGGTAGCACTACGCAATGCTGCATTCACAGGTGTGCGGTAGAGCCGCCATGGGAAGTTCTGCCACGGCAAGCTGCAACGGTCCACAGGCCGTAGCGGTGAGCGGAATGCTCCGTCAAGAGTCCAGTTTTCCAGCTTTTGCTGTCAACCGCAGCGGGGGAGTAAACTGGATGTTGTTTTTTTTTTTAGTGGAGACGCGGACACCAAACGACTCGTTGAATTCCAAACTCAGTAAATACAACAAAAATAAAAGAGTTCTGACCGTCATTCTGTCCATTTTTAAATGCCATTCAGCGCTAAGATAATGTTACCGAAACGTAAAAAAGAAGAGTGCTGTGTTTCATTAGTGGTAAAGTTGGTTTAGTAACTGATATGAGAGCTTGCTGACCATCCAAGCACTGTATGCCCCAAGGGCGCTGGTAGAACACAAATGATAAGCAATGTTTTTAGATTGGCTTTTTTCAATAGATGTGGGGTCTCAAGAGAAGACGCCAAATTTCGAACACATTGGCTGTTTGACCTTGGCAAGGTAAACAACCAGTTTTAAATTGTCAAAATACTTAGAAAACTGTGTGGTTTTTGTATTTGCATGGATGTTGAACTCAGATGAACTACATCATTTCACAGCAATTTCCACTGTATTTTAGTCTCAGAATGCAGCAGAATTTTCATGTTAAAATCACTAAAATTTTTATCATCATGAATTTTCATGTCTGAAAACAGCAATTGTAATATTGGAATCACTATATTACTTTAAGGTTGCCTTTTTGCTGTGTTATAGAAACTTTTCAATGTCTGCAGTTTAAATACTGAAGTGTAGTTTAAATACTGTCTGTGTATAGAAGAGTTCCAAAACAGATCAAAACAAACGTTTGTGTCTATCCCTGAAAATCAGTGATTTGGTTGAATTCTGGTATTAGACTTTCCATAAAATGTTTTAATACCATGGCACTGGGGTCAGAATAACTGGACAACCGAGACAGGACTGCATTTGTTAAGAGACGACAAAATGATCTTAACATGTATACACGTAAGATTTTCTGGAACACTTTGATGGCCATCTACATACAGACATTATAATACATGCATAAGCACTGAATAACATATTTATAAAGCAATACTTGAATATTTTTGAACAGCTTATGTCATTAATCACAAGCTGACATAAGATGTTTCATGAAATAAATGACATTGTGTTGACATAAGTTGCCTCAGACAGACATTGTTATGAAGCATCATTCCCAAGTAATGGAACTTATAAACAGAAGACCAATTAAGACCTGTGTGGCTGCAGACATGAACAGCTAACACTGTTTTTGATATTTTTCATTTTTGAAATTTGGGAGCATCATAATCTTCATTAGAACTGGTATTTGGATCATTCTACCGAATTGGTTCAAAGTCAAGTTGAAAACACATTTCAGACTTTTAACTGAGTTGAACTTTAGACTAAAATCCTCTTGCTTTGGATGTTTGTGCCTAAATTATGTTTATTTTATTAAATTAAGGAGTTAAACATTCAGTTTTATCACTACTTATACAATATTAATATCTCTGAAACTTCACAGAATGTTTTAGTAGTGGCTGTTTTTTAGTGACTATTTTAAATAATTTTGAGCATTGCTTAAAAACACCAGCCGGTACATGACTAGCAAACACAGCTTTAAACAGTAGTACACACATAAAATCTAAATATTTTTCTTTAAAAGAAAAAAAAGTACTTTATTACAGAAATATTCCACATTGATTTTCAGACGCTGGGACACATTTATTTCAAAACTGCTCATCATGTGCTCATGAGGGACAGGGGTGCAGTCACACTACCTGCTGTAAAATGCAGGGGTGAGGCTAAAGCAACATAAAAACATACATAAACATACATATATATTTTGATAAGTGTAAATTTAGGGGTTGGGGTTTGGTACAGCCACTTCCCAATAGAAAGTACCCTATAAATGATGATTTTGTAAATATTTAGCTTATTATTAGATCAATTAATGTCTTGGATTTGAATAGATCATAACATATTTTTTTTAAATATCTGAATACTTAATTGATTTTTAACTAGTTTTTACTCTTTACTACTAGACCACAGTTTAAAGTAATTTGGTCGAATGATCCACATTATGTTCTTGCCTGTGCATCTGGCTTCATAGCAGAGTAGCAAATGTAACAAAGTCTGCTTATGTCAGTACAATGCCATTTACTTTATAAAATGTTGTAGGTCATTCAGCAGTTACTGGCACAAGCTGTTCATAAAAATTCAAGTATTGCTTTATAAATACATTATTCAGTGTTTATGCTTGTAATGACGTCCGTATGTAGGTAGCCTTCAAATAAACAGTTGCTATCTATTTTCTAAACAGAAAGGAAGCAGAGAAGCTCTGAATTGAGAATTTAATGCCGCTTTCTGAATGTAGCCCCAGATAGTCTGCAAATACAGGATGGTGGCTGACCATTTGATAGATGGACAATGTGGCCTTTCTTTCTACAGAGATAAATTGGCTTGTAGAATTCATCCTGCTTTTTTGTGACTCCTTTCTGCTCCTGTTCTTGCCTGGGTTGTGATTAATATGGCTAAATCTTGCGTGCTCCCATTGACCGTCGCCATTAAATCCTCGCATGCTGGGTTCCTTTCGCTCTGCTTTTGTCACAGGCGTGATAATCTCAACTGTCGCTGATGGCCATCTCTCCGGTGGCTGGCACCGAGGCGTTGTGCTCTTTTCTGCTCCCTCCATCCTGCCGAGCAGCCGCATGAATTGGCGCTTGTTCCCAGCCGACGCTGGAACATTGTTGCAGTTCTGGCCGTGTGATCCGATTTTCACGTACACAGCTTGCGTCTCGTCGACTGAAAAACATGACTGTGTCATGTGATCTTCCTGCCTGTCTCCATCTGAAAAACGTTTCACCTTTTTGACCCAGGTCTCAGCTGCAGATGTGAAACAGGAGAGAATGAAACAGAAGGCAGCGCTCTGTAGCTCTGCAGGGAGGTGGTGGGGATAGTTTGGCACGGAGGCCGACAGCACAGCACAGGGGGTCGTTAGAGGTGTCTGCAAGGCGTAGACTATTAATTAAAAAGCCCATTGCAGCGTTAATGTCACCGCACATATTTGGGCCACCGACAAACAAGGTAGAAAGGGAGAACACTTTTTCTTGGTCTGTCTCTTTCTTTTTAACTCTCTTTCCTTAATACACACACACACACACACACACACACACACACACATATTTATGTAATATTTAAGAGATATTTCCAAGGACATTAGATACAAGATAATCCACTCGCACAAGGATGTGAAAAGTTAAAGGAAATAAGTGAAAAACAGTACTCAAAGGAAGCTTTACTCTTGCTTCAGATCTGAAAAAAATCTATCCGTTCTTACAATCTGTGAAGACAACTCAATGCTAATATATATATATATATATATATATATATATATATATTCATATCTCATATCTCCAAAATGATAACTTTACAGAAGAAGGAAAAAACCTACTTTACTTTTAATGTAAGTCAATGGAACCAGACTTTTTTCCAGATCATTTTGGGTCATTTCTTTTAGTCCATTCATCTTGAAATTTGCATGCAATGTAAAGGGCAAGAGGCATTTTCAAATTGAGTCAAAAACTGAAAAATGTCAATTTTTTTTTTCGATAGCAGCGATATATATATATATATATATATATATATATATATATATATATATATATATATATATATATAAACATACACACACAATACAAAAAAGACAAAAAAGGCATGTAAGCACTTGAAAATATCGTTGCTGTTCAAAGAAAAAAATTAAGTTAATGTAAAGAGGTTTTACTCCAAGTGATTTTGGAGCATTTATATTGGTCCATTCATCATGACATTTTCAAACTATGTAAAGGACAGCCAGAGTATTTAAAAGACGTTAAAAAAAAACAAAAAATTAGATACATGCTTTTTTGGAAAGCGACAATATAAACCGATCAGGCATAACATTATGATTCCGATTCTGATGATGTTTCTACGCTCATTGTCCATTTTATCAGCTCCACTTACTATATAGGTGCACTTTGTAGTTCTACTATTACAGACTGTAGTCCATCTGTTTCTCTGCATACTTTGTAAGCCCCCTTTTACCCTGTTCTTCAGTGGTCAGGACCCCCATGGACCCTCACAGATTAGGTACTGTCTGGGTGGTGGATCATTCTCTGCACTGCAGTAACACTGACGTGGTGGTAAGTGGAGCTGATAAAATGGACAATGAGCGTAGAAACAAAGAGGTGGTCATAATGTTATGCCTGATCGCTGTATATGACACATTAAAATGATTTTAAAGATGAATATCTGCTCATCTTCAGCTCGTGACCCATAGGTCGTGCATTCAGAGACGCTGACTGCTGCTGTAACTGCCAACCACAGAACACACTGATGTTTGCTGTTGACTCTGCTCCTTTAGAGCTTGTTTCGCATCAAACACATCAAGCTGCTTTGCCGCTCTGTGCTTTGACAATGAAAGGCATCTGTGCCTGCGGTCTTGTCAGACTCACAGACGTTATACAGCCTATGCACACATACACACACATGCATGTTGGACAGCCCACGCTGTGGCATATCTGATTCTGGCCATCCAAGCGTTGGCCTCACACCGTGAAGTGTGTGATGCGACTGTGTCCCGTGTTAAAGAGAACACAC